TCAGGGTTTTTCCATGCGCAAAGGAATTTGTTTGAATGGCACTGAGCTATTTGATGAGTTTGCTGTGCCCAGGCTCATGGAATGAAACAAACCTGTGGTGCCAGCTGCTTGCTACTGTGATGAGGGGAGGAATACAACTAAACCTAGACTCTTTTTTTTCACTGTGTTTTTATTTATCTTCTCCATTTGACCTGTTAACCTTGAATTATGGACCCGATCTGTGGTGAGTGTCCTCTTACAACCTTTAAATTCCTTTGTGAAAGTGCATAATTTTCCTGAAAACTGTCAACCTCCTCTGAAAAGAAAGCAAGCTAATTTGGTAAAGTGTTCTGAGAAGAAACTTCTGGGGCAGCTCTCAGGGAAAGCACTGAAAATAGAGCTCTCATTACTATGCCACAAGGAGCCAATGTAACATAACCACCTCATAGGTTTTTCTTGAGAAGGTCAGGGCATGGCTCGGCTCTGCTCCAAGATCTCACACATATTTTGCAGAATTTTCCAAAACCTCTGCATAGTGAACATTTCTTCTGAATACAAAATCAAACCTATTAAGCTTAATTCCCCCTTCCTTACCTGTTTATGAAACTGTTGCCACCTGATGGCTTTGTACATGGGAAGTGATGTGTCTGGAAGTCTGTTGTACCCTTGTTTGGTGCTCTGCATGGAGTTCACCACTCTGGTTTTCTGATTTCAATGAGCTTCAGCTGTGAAGGAGATGGCATCCCTGCTTCTGCTTTGGAGTCACTGTTCTGAATTTTCAAGTCTCAGTGATGGCCCTTCAGACTTCACAATGATTTCTGAAGGCAAGGGTACTGGTGAAGTGAGTGCCTTGTATTCCATGATTCTCTCAGAGAAGATTAGTGCCTGCTAATTCTTGGATTTGTGGCCTAGTCCGTCCCCCTTACAGAATCAATTTTAGCTAAAGAAGATTTTTCCTGAATTCCTTGTAAAAGATAGACTCAAGGGTATTGAAGAGAAAAGGAGGGATAGTCTTGTGCCTGGAGATTACACTGGTAACTGATCATTACCAAATTGACAGCAGGGGAGAGTGATTTAGTCATAGGCTTGACATTGAAATGTGCAGGCTTTCCTCATGGTACACGAATGCCATGCCATCTTAAATCAGCTCTCACTGAAAATCATTCCTTACAAACACCATGGGCCAGGGAGAGGGATGAGACATCTCCACTACTTGGAAAGCAGGGATAATGTCCTGGACACTACTGTAAAGCAATAAGCAATGGCTCCCTGGGGTCACTCTCAACTGGTTCCACTCTTACCACCAAGGCAAGCTGCTACATGCAGGCAGGCCTGCTGAACTCAGTAGGTTTGACTTACATAGGGGTAGAGATGGCTGTTGTACCTTTCCTAGAAGAAAAATTCAGTCCCAAGAGAGCAGGACTGCTCTTCTGCCTCATGAGATGCTCCTATGAAGCAACTGCCAAGAGTCTGCCATGGAATGACCTGACATACACAAGCATCACAGGTAAGAAAAAGACATTTAACTCGGGCTTTCCAGCAATGTTAAGAGCATGTGGCTTGAGCTTCATGACTGCTGCACCTTTCTGGCTGACTGCAGACAACAATACTAAGGTAACATTCTGGAATAACAGGCTGCCTCTCGTTGTCCCTTGAATTCCCAATGGCCAGCAAAACCACAAGGTCTTGCCTGAAAAAGCAGAGGTTGCTTGAATGTTATTATCTTGTAGGTACTAACAGCTCACCATTCATTAGGCTAGACAATAAACACAGCAATGAGAGATTGCATATGAAGTTGTTTCCGTGGCATCTCAACTTGTAGGGGCACAAGTAGATTTGAAGAGTCTCAGTCGGGGTTTGACACCCAGTAAAAGCTGCCTTGTAAATCTTGCTGATCTGGCTTACTGCTGCATTGCGAGCAATAGCAGAAGTATAACACTTTCTTACTGGGGTGAAAGAGATTATTTTGGGGGTTAATGTATTTTTGAGAAAAGCAAGAGTTGTTTGTCAGCTTGCTTGTGCCAGTACCCAGGCAGCACTCCACAAGAGATTAGTGTTCACATGGTTCTTTTCATCGACCTGTTTCAACAGGGCAGCGTTAACCTCCTCAAATAAGTAACCTTGAGGGCCAAGGCAGAGTGATGTAAACAACTCAGGATGAGATTGCTGTTGGGAAATCAAGTGAAACTAACTCCAGCATTGTCGCAGCATTGTTTCTGTTTTCCAGACATGCTAGGAACATTAAGGCTTGTGAAACGCTGGAAAAAGAGGGAGCAGCGTTGGCTCCAGAATGAAGATGTTCTTGTGGTTACAAGTGTTTGGGAGGTATCTGCAAACAAGGTTCAGTGGTCGGTTTTGCCACAGACTTCTGCTAAAGTCACAGTCCAGTGACCAGTTCTTCTACAGAACAATCCCTGTTCTGGAAAAGGAGAGATACAATGTTTCCTTTGGGGTTGACTACATGGAAATACCTTTCTGTGTCATCAGAAGCATGGGGTGGAAGCTCTGTGATTGCCTTGGTGTTAAGAGCCTGTAAGAGAGTCAAGGCTCAGGTGTGCCAGGGCTGGCCTCTCCAGGTGGAGGAGATGAGGGCTGACAAGGGTTATGTAACCACATCAAATGCAAGGGAAGAAGGAAATTACAAAAGGAACTAGAGTTATGAGAGGAAGGGAGAGTAGGATGGATATAGAGAGAGGATTAAGGTAAGCAGGGTTAATTGTTTATGTGCCCCAGGATCAGTTAATATGTATAAAGGGTAGTTCCTGGCAGCTAGGTGAGGTGGGGGGCTTGGGGGCAGGACCTGAAAGAAAGATAAAGCTGTGCTCCTGCCTGTCTGATGAAAGCAAAGTGCAAACACTTAATGAAAAAGTGCTCTGTCTGTAGAGGCTGGAGTATGATGTCTAATTTGAACTCAAATATTGGACTTATGCAACAGTTACCTGCTGAATTTAGTTGTTTCAGTCACCTGACTTTGAGGCAGTAGACCGAGGTATTAATTAGCTGTTCTTGCAACCTGGATGGCCACTGTAGACAGGGTATTATCTTCCCTTGTATCATTTGAAAGGATGTTCGGAATAGAAGGAAGAGGGGCTACTTGGATGATGTCCACTTGCATAAATGGTGAAAGAGCTATTAAGGACAGGTATAACACTATCCCAAGTGAGAAACTTCTGACCAGTTATAAGAAAACTAATTCAAATTGCTTTATGCCAACATTATTAAGTTTTTTAACATTGTTAGAAAGTGCTTTTTGACTTATGTTACTTCCATTAAAAATTTATGCTTTTTGTTTTGAATCCCCCACACCTCCCTTCTGCTAAGCTTGCTTCCCAACTTTGAATACAGCAGCTCTTTCTCTTGCTATGCTTATTTTTTTGATGTCTTTGTAAACTTTCATACTTACGTAATGATTGGGATGACTGTAGTCTGCATTGTTTATGGCAAGGCAATCTTTACAGCCTCTGTAATCTATTTTGATGGTCTACTAGTACTGGCCTCTCACCCAGTGCTGCCCTGTGACAACCTTGTGCAGAAATAGTGCTGAAAATCACAGTTGCCCTAACTAAATGTAAGCATTTTGGCGAGCTTAGAGGCTTGTGGAGGAAAAAAGTGTTGAGAAAAGATTAGCAAAGGTAAGCAAATACATGTGTTTTGGTGATTAACAGTATACTATAACAGTATATATAACTGTTGTATACAACAGTCTACAACTTCCTCTTGTAGGGAAGAGAAGGGGCAGACACTGATCTTTCTGGTGACCACTGACAGGACTCGAGGGAATGGCCTGAAGCTGTGTCAGGGCAGGTTTAAATTTGATACTAGGAAAAGGTTCTTCCCGCAGAGAGTGGTTGAGGACTGGAACAGCTTCCCCAGGGAAGTGGTCACAACACTAGTCTTACCAAGAGTTCAAGAAGTGTTTGGACAGTACTCTTGGGCACATGGTGTGCTCTTGGGGACATCCTGTGCAGGTCCAGGAGCTG